GGCATACACGTCGATGGCACACCAATACCGACTGTAAACAGCAAGAAAATTTTAGGGGTCACCTTCGACTGCAGTTGTCAATAAAGTACAGAGCCGCAACAAGGTCCTCAAGTCGCTCGCCGGCAGCACTTGGGGCAAAGACAAAGAAACGTTGCTGGCAACATACAAGGCAATTGGCCGGCCGGTTCTAAACTATGCTGCGCCAGTTTGGACGCCGGGGACTAGTTGGACGCAGTGGACGAAGCTACAGACTTGTCAGAACGCCGCACTCCGGACAGCGACTGGGTGCCTTCTGATGACGCCTGAGCACCACCTGCACAGCGAGGCCCAAGTGCTCCCCGTCAGGGAACACAACAAAATGCTATGTAAGCAATTTCTGGTGGGGTGTCACAGAAGTGAACACCCTAACAGACCGTTGCTTCAGGAGGAGACTCCGCCCAGGCACGTCAGGCGGCACCTATTCGTGTACAAGGACGAAGTCCAACAGTACATAGACCAACCATTGGACCCGACGACGTACAGACGAGCCATAAACGGCATTCATAGAGACTCAGTTACCACCTACCTCGACTCTCGACCTATGAATGCCGTAATACGAGCCCAATCACCTCCTGTGGAAGAGACGGAGCTTCAACTGCCACGAGAGACCCGCGTTACCCTGGCTCAATTACGGTCTGGATACTGTAGCCGCCTTAACAGCTACCTGTCCAGACTCGACCCCAATATCCCCAATGAGTGCCCGGCATGTGGAGAGTCCCCCCACGACACCAACCACCTCTTTACATGCCAGCTCAATCCGACTCAACTAACACCCCTCTCCCTCTGGTCCGAACCCGTCGAAACAGCTCGTTTCCTGGGCCTCCCGTTAGTTGAGCTCGACGACAATGATTGAACGTAGACCCGAAAACGGCGGGGCTTAGTAGTGCCGCTACAACAACAACAACAAAGTATGTCACTCGTTGCACATCTATAAATTTAATCTTCTTGGTCTTCAACCTAATTTTCTACGTTGGATCTCTTCATACCTCTATGATAGATCACAAAGGGTTATGTTTAAAAATATTATCTCTGACGTCATTGATGTTACTTCAGGAGTCCCGCAAGGTAGCCACCTAGGCCCGATTCTGTTCTAGCATTTTAAAAACGACATTTCTACAGATATAACATTTTCAAAATTTTTTATGTACGCAGATGATGTGAAACTTTATAAATCGTACGTATTAATCAAAGAAAAGCATTTGCTAGAAGCAGATTTAAACAGCATGGCTAATTGGTGCTATGTAAATCGAATGCCTCTAAATCTGGAAAAATGTAAAATAATGTGCTTCTCGCGAAGAGCTGTGCAGCCACTTTCTTATACAATAGATAACCATAATTTGGAACAGGTATACAATTTTGTCGACCTTGTATCACAATGGAAGCGAAACTTAATTTTAATGTTCACATTAATGTGACAGTCAACAAGGCTAAAGGTGTACTTCCATTTGTGAAACGATGGTCAAAAGAATTTAGTGACCGTTATATCACTAAAACCCTGTTTACTACATTAGTAAGACCGATTCTGGAATACGGTTCGGTGGTGTGGAATCCAATGTATCAAATTTACTCAGACAAGATAGAATCAATTCAAACACAATTCCTGCTTTTTGCTTTAAGAAATTTCCGTTGGGACTCTCAATATAACCTCTCGCCTTATACGAGCCGATTAAAACTTTTTAATCTTCCTACAGTTGTCAGTCGCAGGGAAATGCTTGGTACAATTTTTATAGTTAAATTACTGACAGGTTCAGTTTCAAGTCCGCTTCTTCTGGGTGAAGTTAGCCTTAATGTTCCCTCCCATGTATCAAGACGCTTTTATCCCCTATTTTTGAAAACTTGTAAAACTAATTTTGAAATACACGAGCCACTCCGTTGCTTATGCCAGGATTTTAACTCTCATTCCCGCACATTTGATATATGTGATTCGCTTTTCAGCATTAAGAAAGCGATACTCTCCTCTCTCAATAAATGAATCATTAACATAAAGACATACAGCCCGATTCTGTGCACTTGATAAATTGAAAATCTTTATAATTTGTCAATTTTTTATTATTTATCAAGAATTGGTATTCTAGCACAGAAATGAAAAGCTCTTTTCTTGATAAATTATCAAGATTGAAAATGCTATTGACAAATTAAAATTTCACGTGAAATGTATAAATTTTATATATTAATAAATTTGTTGCTAACAATTAAATACTCCATGTGCCGGCATTTGAACCAGCGACAGACGGAATTATAGTCGACATCTTTACCTACTCGGCTAAAAGCTTTTAATTAAATAAATAAAAAAAATTTTCATTGTGACAATGAAATCAGTTCGACTCATGTGCAAATCAGTTCCACTCATGTCGAAATCGTAGAGCTTTTTGTTTTATAAATATTGACACAGAATGCGAAGGGAGCTTTTACTTAATAAAAATCTTGATAAAATTTCTTTACAAAAAATTTATCAAGAAAACACAGAATTGGACGGAAAATCAGCTGATGAATTTAGTTTTGTAGCTGAACAGTTTTAGATCTCGACACTTAACAAACTCCTGCCTACCGTGACTCGGCTCAAAAAATTGAAAATATTGGTTCCGTACGTCATGCGGACTGCGCCCCTCGTGCGGGTGGGCGGAAATGGAGGGTAATTATTATTATTATTATTATTAAGGCCAAGCGAAATGAGAATAACACATTTATTACAGATGCTGATGTAGTTTTCGAGATACAAATCTTTTATAAAAAAAAGGGTGGTGTCACGCCAGATTTCCAAAAATTTTATAAAAAAACAAATTTCTTCTAAGAGCCTTTGTAAATATAAATTTTGTGTAAATATTTAGGAATTCTTTAGCCACACTGCGTACACGATCTGAAATTTTAACACATAAATATTTATGAAAAACTTGCTTCGACAATATGTAGGTTTGTCTTATCATTTGACAGCTTTCATTGAATAATGTTTGTAATAAACGATGGCTAAAGTTGAAAAAATTGGGTTTTATCTGTTCACCTGATGAAAACGCGGAACAATCTTACATAAGTTAATCCTCCTTCAAAAACATATGGGTGTTTCCATACAGCCGTACGCGACATTTACGCTTATAGAGTAACGTAAATCTATCAAAAATAGAAGTTACTGAAAAAAAAAGATTACGGTTATGTTGCAACCAAAGGGTACTATGTTTGAGAAAAATATAAGCAGCCTCGAAACTTTGGTGTGGAAAATATCCGTTCCAAACCAGGTGATAACGTACGCGACAAAAAAAGAAGTGGTTTTAAGGCACATATACATATATGCGAAAGTCTGCGAATCATGCGAGTTTTTCTTTTCTTTAAAAATTCCTAAACTAAGCTAAGTAATGTACCTTTACAATCCTTCCATTTTTTCATAGAAATTATCTCTGGCTAGTTTTTATAAAAAAAAAAATATAATAACGTACGCGACAGATTTTTCCCCCATACAATATTTTCACTAGTAACACATACTAAATAAAATTTTTTCAGTTCTTTTCTCCACCGTTTCGCGGTTTCAAAACCTTTTTCCGCCATCTGAATACGAAATTTAAAGTTATAAAGCCGTTTGAATTCATTTGCTTGCATTTTCGGTTTACATTTTCATTGAATTGAATTGAAATTGAATTGAAACACGCATATACATATGCGAAAGTCTGCGAATGATGGGAGTTATTCTTTTCTTTAAAAATTCCTAAGCTAAGCTAAATAATGTACCTTTACAATCCTTTCATATTTTAAGAGAAATTATCTCTGGCTAGGTTTATATTAAAACAAAAAAAAACAATAACGTACGCGACATAACGTACGCGACAATTTTTCTCGTAAGTAACAAAATGTATTTATTGAGAACTCTTCTCGCCNTTAGAGAAAACTGAGTCGAACAGACATTCAGTTTTACTCTTCCATTTTTGAGTTTTAAAATTCCAAGAAGCTGAAATACTTCTATAATATAAAAACTCGAGTATTTTTCTCTTATTAATTCGCCTTTAAAACCCTTTTCAGTTGTTTTTATTTGGCATTTTCATGGAAACACCCATATTTCATTTTTAAAATCGGATAAAAGATAGTCAAGCAATATATAGATGGGTGCATTAGGTACGAAAATGACGTTTTTCTTTTTTATAAAAATGGAAGGTTCAGGGAAACCTGCACTACGTTATGATGCGGGTGAATCCAGTTTTTGTGTGTGCTGTGTAATAGTGAAGACGTTGCTTTGACGAAACTCACCATAATGTTGGAGGTATAAGCAGAATTCACTGATATACCCATGGTTATTAAGTTGCCTACATGTTGTGGTATATCGTTTAACGTTGGGAGTACTTTGCATAATTTTTCACAGATGTAGGATTGTACGACAGTCATTCGATTTGTTGTTAGTGTACCAGTCTTATCTGAGCAAATGGCAGTGGCATTACCCATAGTTTCACAAGCATCCAAATGCCGCACCAAATTGTTGTCTTTCATCATTTTCTAAAACAAAATAAAAAACCAATTTAAATCAGTTAAATTTTTCCTTTGGCAAAGGCCAGAAGTAAACAACCCTACCTTTACAGAATAGGCCAACGACAATGTCACAGCAAGCGGCAAACCTTCTGGAACTGCTACTACTAATACGGTCACACCAATAATTAAGTGTTTGACCAAATTGTTTGCATAAATATTTTTCCATGGCTTTTCTTCAATAACAAAGGTCTTGATGCAAAACTGTATGACCAATATAATTACAGTCAAAACGGCTATTGTAGAACCAGCATAACCGATTTGGATAGCCAGTTTGGTTAATTTCGCTTGAAGCACAGACTTTTCCTTTTTATGGCCAGATTCAGCAGGTGATGACGCCTGTTGCACATGATTACCATCGGATTCGGATTTGATTCCATCTGTTGGTGGTGGTGGAGCGTGCATGTTCTTTGTTGGGGCTCGGCCATCTTCAGTACCTACGCGTATCAAATTAGTTAACATGAATTTAAACACTCGTTTATTATTATGGTATGTTTGCAAAAGGAAGAATGTCGGATGGAAAAGAAAACTATATAAATATCACAAACACAGACACGATAGTTTAAACGACACATTTAATAAATTAATAAGTACCTTTTGTTTTGGATAAATAAAAAATACTACGCTATTTAAACTATGTCATGTGATGTAAATTATTGATTTCAAGTCCGTAAATTATTTAGTTTTTGGAGGTACTCGTAAAGAATTGCATACAGGTTTATTGACTAAAATTGTATCGGAAATTGAGTACAAATTGAGTTAATAATGCAGTCATACAAAACTAATCAAGATCTTTCAAATTGCGTTTTTGGATATCTCGTTTAGTTTCCGAGATACTAAGTAAAAGGTATCCATAATTTAGTACAAATTTTTACCACATTTTGTCGTAGGTCATACAAAGTGGCTGCAAAATGTTCACAAATGTATCTTACTAAATACATAATAAAAATATAAAAATTTAAGAATCTTACTAGTCACGGTGGGTCGGAACCAAGTTCAACCCAAAGGTCTTGGCACTTGAAACTTTCTTGTGAATTTCTTTTCTACTATGTTTTAGAGGTTTTTAAGAAAATCGAGTTTTTGGGTTTTTTGTGCTGAAAACAGTGCTACTCAGCAGTAACTTCAACCTAAAGGCCTTTTTACCTTAAATGTTTTTACAGATTTTATTTGCGTGTTGACTTTTAAGAAATTTAAATTCAAAAATGAAAAGGCGTTAAATATATCTATATGAGTCAGAGGGACGCAGGGAGGGTAGGGGGAAAGAGGGGGAAGCTATGGGAGAAAGAAAGACGACACCTATGGCTTTTTGCGAGAGAAACGCTCCGTGCTCACAACGAAGCTCTTCAGTCGACTGATGTCCACACCCGAGAGCTCATCGGGAGTGTGAAAAAAGTGCGACCCAAGGTGCTTGAACCTTAGGCTCGCAATGGCAGGGCACCAGAGCTGCAGATGTTGAGATGATTCCACCTCATCGTCCTCCATGCAGCTGGTGCAGTAAGGGTTATCCGCGACACTCAGCCTTACCGCATGGTTACCAATCACACAGTGACCAGTAAGCACTTCCACCAATAGTGAGAGATGCAGCTTGCTTAGTCTCAAGAGCTCCCTAGACCGCCCCCGGTCCATCCGTGGCCAGAAAGACTTTGCCACCCTGCACTCCAAGGTGTTCGCCCAGCGCTCGCTGAGCTGACTAAACGCCCATCTGTCCATAAGCAGACCACACGAGGTCAGAGGATCCCCCAGACCCTCCCTATCCGAAAGTAATTCCTCGAGGGTTCCCTGTCTTGCTAGCTCATCAGCCATGCAGTTGCCAGCGATTTCGCTGTGACCTGGAACCCAAATAAGCTTAATAGCAAAATAGTTAGACGCGGTCGACAGGGAAGTCACTCCCTCACCGTTTTCGAACGCACTGTCAGGGAGCCAAGAGCCTTGATGGCAGCCTGGCTGTCAGAATAGATATTTACCTCTTTAACAGATGTTACACTAGGGAGCAACCAATCCGAAGCCTCTTTTATTGCGGCCACCTCAGCCTGGAAAACACTACAGTGATCCGGTAGCGTAAATTTCAGGTTGAAGGAGAGCTCTTCGCAGACAACCCATTTGTAAATAAGTTTACAGGTCCTCGGTTCAAGATACAGCACCCCTCCCAGTNCTCCCTCACCGTTTTCGAACGCACTGTCAGGGAGCCAAGAGCCTTGATGGCAGCCTGGCTATCAGAATAGATATTTACCTCTTTAACAGATGTTACACTAGGGAGCAACCAATCCGAAGCCTCTTTTATTGCGGCCACCTCAGCCTGGAAAACACTACAGTGATCCGGTAGCGTAAATTTCAGGTTGATGGAGAGCTCTTCGCAGAAGACACCTCCGCCCACCTTCCCATCCAGCTTCGACCCATCTGTAAATAAGTTTACAGGTCCTCGGTTCAAGATACTGCACCCCTCCCAGTCTTCCCTCGCCGGAATGTGGGTGGTAAAAGATCCATTCGGACCCAGAACCGGCGTGCAGTGGTCTGTCCGAGTCGGTAGGAACCCGAAGTCTCTTAGAATTCTGGAGTGCCCATAGCTCGAGGTGAACTTGAAGCCCACCCCTCTTAGCCTTACTGCGAATTTTAAAGGGTAAATGTTTATAAAATTGTTGGTAAAAATATAAAAGTAATAGTCTTCTGCACCACTTTTTCACACAGAAAAAAACATATATGCAAAATTTTACTCTAAAATATTCTGTTGAGAAAAAAAATGGATCGCAACGTTCAAACCCGTTATTTTTACTTGAAGGCTGTCGCGCAATACAACGAGCGCTTCCGGACTTATTTTGGTGAAGTGCATCTGCAACCAGCGTGCCCTCACCGGTTAATTTGTTTTCATGTGACAGAGTCAATAATAAACACAGGTAGATTTCAGTAAAAAAGTATTTATATAATATTTATTGAACAAATATCTATAATGTTCAGAAAACAAAGGAACTAATTTGTTGTATTTAAAGATAAAATAAATACTTATACTCCACATAGAGGGACGTAGAAACTTATTGGCGCAGAAAATTATCCGCAATATATGCAAAGATTTTCATCCAATTTTTTTATAAAAACATAGTTCATTCTACACAAAAATGTATAAAAATAAAATCTCTAAACGTTGTGCAAAACCCGAGAACTTTGTTATATTAAAATTGAATGGGCTATAAAACTGCATTTTTAGAATTTTTCGAAAAACTCTGAATAGGAAGCTGCAAATTAGTATACAAATGTATTATGTAAATGTAAATTAATATTTCATATCAATAATTGGATGGAAACGATATTTCTTGCCCTCATTTGATTAAAAGCGAAAATTATTACACATAATTTTATTTATGTACTTGCAAAAGCTGACGAGCAACGCACACGAAAAGTTGAGAGTTTTCTACCTTTCTGCTTTGTGTTGGCGTAAGGGTCTGATTATGCATACTTCGCATAACTTCGCACAACCATTTGTACCAGTGCACTAAACTAACATAAGAAAATGTTAAGCAAAATCTAAACTCAACAGATCGCTAAGTTTTTAAAAGTTCTGCTAATTTCTGGGTAATGGAATACATACAAAGTACCTACGAAATTACAGTTCGAAGTTTATGCGAAGTTGTGCGGAGTTATGCGAAGTATGCATAATCAGACCATAAGCGTTGCCAAATTTTGGCTATGTGCACGGCTGTATTGAAATTCATGTATTCATAGTCAGCTGTTGAAACGACGCCAACACCAACGCAACGCCAAAGTTGTGCGTATGTATGTGGACGGGCCTTTATTCTTTGCATACGCATGTGCTGAGTCAATACTTTTAAGTATCCAATACTCTCAATACTCGGTACCGAAACATTTAGGTTTCGAATAAAAGCGCACATAGGCCAAAAATATGGGAAAAACGGTTCAGGGGAGACTCGCCTATAAAAACCCGAATGTAGGAGCCAATAGAACTTTTAATACTGATTCAAATGAAGGCTGTATATATGTCGGTTCGAGTCCGTAATACAGAGAAACTCTTACTTGTTTGAAGCATTTTTGTTCCAGCTGAATCGGACGATATCATTTTTGTAGGCAGATTCTGTAACCAGTTAGCGACAGATTCTGCAAAGCTTGATATACAGTTCAATGCGAGCGTGAGCGTGAGCTTTTTATTTTGACCAATATCTTCGTTATTACTGAACTTTTTGCAATAGAGAATTCAAATATCTTTCAGAATTATAGAATAAAAACTAATTTAAAATACATAATATGCCTTTTTCAAGCTCACACTCAACTGTGTGCGTAAGCAATGCATTCGCATGTGAACGACAAGTTTTGACAGATGTGTGTGAGCGTCCATAAGAATACAAATGAAATTCTTTGCTTTTGCGAACGTTCACGCTCACGCTCGTATTGCACTGTATATCAAGCTTAACCAGTTAGCGAGAAATTCTGTAACCAGTTAACGACAACTTTCGAATCGGTATCGGTTTTGTTGACGTATGATATGAAATATTTTTGACTGAAAGTAGTTTTCTTGAACCTTGGATCGACTAGGGTTAAAACTGATAAAATAATATTTCTCTGTTGCGATAAGTTCAAGTGTTTTAGCCGATATCATATAAATTAGTAAGGAAAGTTTTTTCTAAACTTGAAATGCATATAATGGCGAAGGTTTAATGTAAAGAATCAGTATCGGGTACCGATAAGGAAGTATTGTGTACCGAAACCTTTTTTAAGTATTGGGTACCGACAACTCAGCGCATCACTAGACAGCAGTTTTATTTGACGCACTCAGTTGTCAACTCTACGGTGACGTCACGCCAAAATTACTCTCACGAATTCTGCTGCAATCGGCGCAATCTTGTATTCTATCATTCTTGGATCATACCGAAACAACGCGGTGTTAACGCTGAGCGGTTGGAAAAATCCGATTTTGACAGGGCGTTAGGTATTGAAGTTGGCTGCAGAAAACGGCGAAACTGTCATTTTCGTGTGACACACAAACAAACCTATGCTTATTGTTGNAGTTTTTATTCTAATTTAGTTTCGATAATTTTTTATAAAAATATAGTTCATTCTACATCAGAAAACGTAATAATAAAAACTCTAAACTTTGTGCAAAACTCAGGAAANATATATGTATATACAGTGACGAACAAAAGTATTGGCACAGTGAATTTTTCGCCATATATGCAAAAGTTTTTATTCTAATTTAGTTTCGATAATTTTTTATAAAAATATAGTTCATTCTACATCAGAAAACGTAATAATAAAAACTCTAAACTTTGTGCAAAACTCAGGAAAATTCATTAAATTTGCACACTAATTTGCAACTTTTTATTCAGATTTTTTAGAAAAATTCTAAGTGTGCAGTTCTATAGCCCATTCAAATTTGGTATAACAAAGTGCAAGTTTAAAGTTGCTAGAAAATCGCGTTGATTTTTGGCAATTT